TTAAGTTGTCCCGCCTGTTTGCTGTCTCGCTCTTTCCATGTGTATCCTTGTTTCCATGGCCTCCACTGCTACACTCCGGCTGGACTACAACTGGAGACAGTGACGATGACTCACTTGTTTTAACTATTTCTTCTCTGGTTTTATTTGCCACATTGTGGACCGACTCATGTGTGGTGCTGGTGTGCTCTGTGGGGAGCAGCAATCCCAAGGAGGCCATTTGTTCTTCACATTCCTGGAAGGCCTCTTGCAGCTCCCTGTCTATAAGCACAGACGAGGGAGGGCTTGGTGGTCGGACGCCACAGTAAGGTGTGGCTGTGGACTGAGGTGAGGACTGGGCATCTGTGAGAATTGGGTCACTGTCATGAGGCCTGAGATGAGGGTAGGATGACAGAATTCAGAGTTGTCAGGCAGACAACTGGACATTCCATAATGCTGCAATCTGGCAAGCCCATGCTCAGCCACTGCACACGCTGTCAACAACTGTCCCCAGCATCCTATTTTGAGGTTTGCTTTTTCCCAAAACGTAGCCCAATGCCAGCTGTTTCTGAGCATGTAACATGCAGTTATAGTACACAATATTGCGTATTAATACAATATTAAAATGGCACTGCCACCAAAGCTTTTAAATGCTTAGGTTAAACATTTGTTGCACATTTAGTGAGCCTTAAATATAATGTTACATTTGTAAACTTGTTTTTTAAGCCACCCAAAGGTACTCACCTCTAAAACCTTCATATACATGTTCAAATTTACTTAGTCCTTTAATTTTTCAGCAGATTTTTTTTCCCTTTCATCTACTTCAAATTAACACCAATGGCATTATTTCGGGTTTTTTTCCTGTTTTTTTTTTGTTCAGTTCAGTTCAAAAAGTACTGTTTGACTTCCCAGAATTCCAGAAAAAAACAAAATATTCCCATATAAACCATTTTCTTTTAAAACAATGATGTCAGAGTTTGAAACAGCTGAGTCACTCCTCCTCTCTTCAACCTATGTGTATAATTCATCAGTAACATAAGGGGGTTTGAGAAACAGTTCTAGGACAGATGTTATAAATTAACAAGGTGTCTGGTTTTAATAACTAAAGGATGGTTAAACAGGTTTCTCTGTCTTATGACGGCAATTATTGTGAAAATCCACTCCACATTTGACCTTTATTGCCTCTATTAGAGCAGATATGGCTAACTTTATGAGAAGAGCAAAACCTTTTGCAATATTTATTTGACATATTGTTTTAGTTTTCAGCAAACTGCATCATTAAATATATTTGTGCATTAAATCTTGGCGCAGGGCCACATTACAACAAATTAGTACAAACAACCTTAGCGCTCAAACAAAACCACGATGCCAGGCAACACTTCTGAGCAGTCAGTGTGAAAATATTTTCACCCAAGCATGAAACAAAATGTACCACACCTCATGCCAAGTCATCTCTGACAAACCAAAAACAAACCCTTATAACCAACACACTCTTAGTAAAAACAAAAACAAAACTACTCATTAGTCTGTGTTCTCATCCTTAAGAAACCTCGACCATGCTAACCCATGTTGGTACCTTGTGTCCAGAACCAGTGATGGTGGACTCAGGTCCACATGATGCTGAAGTCCTGCCAGCAAAGGGTTCAGTTGCTCACATTTCCCTGTGCCTGAACTACTCTGAGCACTGCACACATCCACACATGCAACACATCAATATCACATTAACTACCAAGTTTCATTATAGTCATAAATCAAGCAGAAATAAATATACACCATTCTAAAGTTATGCAACTATGAGATGACACTTTTCTGATGGTAAGCCTCCGTCTTCCACAGCTTAAATAATCACTGCGTGATTTGTGAGTTTGAAAGACATGTTGATGAGACAAGCCTCAAGTCTAATGTAATAATACTGTGAAAGGTCTCTGTAAATAATCATACCACCACTGCCAAAATGATGTCACGTAAGGCTTTTGTAAGTGTGGCAAAAAGTAAAGCACTGGAACACTGTGTGGATTCACAGCTGCTTTTTTACCACATTGAGACAGAAGACCTCTCCCTCTTGTGGGGCAGCTATTTATTGCACATCTTGAGCCTGAGCTGTTTATGAGAAATGGACGATTGTCAGTTGAGTGTATTGTGAGAAGAAAATAAAAATCTCTCCTGGATATAGTAGCCTAAATAGTAACCTAAAATTAAGAAGACAATAAATTTTACTCAACATGAGAAAATCAATGTCAGGGTTTCATTAGAAAACTATTTTTGTGTCTACATATTTCTACCATTTTCACATTTATCAATCATCTTAATGTTGTTACTGTCAGTATTTAAATATTGTTTGATTTATGGAGAAAGATCTGGACCTAGTCATTTAGGACATGAGATTGCTACAATTATCTTCACTCTACAACCACAGCGTGCCATAGTGATAGCTCAGTTATTTAATCAGTGGGAGACATAGACACACAACAATAAGGTGAGGACATTTTACCACAAGGGGGCAGAGCGGAATCTACCCAAAAAAAACTTGCTTTTTATAGTTGTTTGATTATAGCACAAAACCAAATGATGCAATAAATCACAGAATCTCATCTTTCTAAATAACGTCATAATGACAATAAAAAGAAAAAAAAATGTATGGCAGCCTATCTTAAGGAAATATGTATGTTCTTGTGTGTGCGTGTGTGTGTATGATAGCAACTATTATTAAATCCTTCAAATTCTTTAGACTTACAGACACATATACATGCATAAATAGAGGGTGGTGTCAAATTTAAAAAAGAAAGTGTACTCACCCAAGTGATGAGCCCCAGATGTTGAGCTCACTGCTAAAGTCTAGACTGGGCAGCAGGTCATGTGGAAACTCAAGCTCCTCCTTGTCCTCCTGGTCTCCAGCTGTATCAGCTCCGTCCTCCTCTACTCCTGTCAGGACAGGGACATCGAGGAGCACCGGTTGATGCAGCAGATTCTCCTGGCTGTCTGTGGAGGGTTCAGTCAGCAGCGGTCCTTCGTCTCTCTGGGTCGATCTGTCAGTGCGACCTTTGGCCTGTGGAGAGGAGAATCACAGCTGCAGCAGTGCGCACTACAACTTGCAGCCTTCTCTGTGGCATGCAAAATCAAAGGTGTACATAACAAGCATGAGCATGTTGCTGGCATCATGGAGAGGAGGGAGGTGATGGATTTAATGCACAAAGCCAAAGAACTTGAGCAAATATCTCCACCCGTGTGTTAATTCAAGGGTTATTTATCTAGCAACGCACAAGTCTGGTGTTGCCTTTGAAGGTTTAAACACAGTCATTGATCATTGGAAACCTATTTTCTCTCAAACGGGCAATAAAATCATCTTTGTTGTATTAGCTCTTCCTCACGGAAACAACCTCAGTGCTGTTGTTCAGTCAGGTCTCCTCCCAAACTGAAAACTTGGCAGCTTGAGCCAGTAGAAATACTAATTAAACACAAACCTGTCCTGCTGGTCTGTGATAAGCATTATCATATTTAAACGTTACATTCAGGCTTGTATTTGTCCATTGAATTAAAATAAGTAAATATAAAAGCAAGGATCTCTTTCACAAGGGAACAAATATAATGGAGTCTGATGTCAATGTCAGGGTTGAAATCTAATATTTTTCTCCTTCCAATTGTCTAACCTGCAGCAATAAAAGCTGATTGGCATCAGCATTGTGATGAAGAAACACAGGACACACAAACCCAGATCCACTATGTGGTCCAACGTTTCCCACAAACAGTGTCCTGCACAGTTTGTTGAGGTGTTCTCCTCTTGTTCCAGTCTCACTCCTTCAGGCATATAAATGTGAGTTAAAATGCAAATCTGAGTATGTGACACACATTTAGCCCTGAGAACATCTGGAACAGAAGTGCTTAAGTTTAATGGGTGGTTTTCAAGCAAAGTTGATTTGACAGTGTGGATGCAGAAGAACATAACACAGTTGCAATAGTAATGCTTTCCATCGAGCATGTGCTGAGATTGAGAACTGAATCCTTCCATTCATTATTCATGATCCGGTACAAGACACTCTGTCTGCACAAAGGCAGAAGTGGCTTTAACAACATTAAATATACCAACAATGTGTATCTTTTTCTGCCCACAGATGTACCTGACAATCTCATATTTTCCATAAGAATAATCATAACAGCTAATCTGCTACCTCTTGTTGGATGAAAGTACAGGACACAGGTGTGTGGAGTGACGAGCCTGTGAGTCACAGGCCTCACCTGTCACCACAACAAAGCACTTCCTTTGTGTGACACATGGTTTCATCTTTTTACCACCACTGACAAAGAATAACCCATTTAATCGTAACTTGAAGAACATTTTAGAGACTGATTCAGACATGGCTGCTCTTCTTTTTTTTCAGATACATGTAAAATCTGATTGCAGTAACCGTCAACACCAGAAAGTATGAAGAACAAATAAATGAACTTAGCTTTGTGACTTGATGGCTGCATGTTTTTGACTCTTGGGTTTCCTGTTTCCTGCCCAAACTTTCTTTCTCACCTTGATGCAATGGAAACTGTGACTATATGACGATACATGTAGAAACTCACACTTGAACTCACTGAAAAGCAGCACCTGTGGGCACAGCAGGGCCCAATAAACTGCTTACAGCTGTGCACGGTGTCAATGGTCATTTAGCAGGTCATCATAGGGTCACAGTTAAACCATATGGAAGCTCTGTCTGGTGTGAAGGCACAGATTCAGTTAGTTTCAAAGCCCACAGACAGAGGGCACTTCTGCGAATGATTAACCAAGACAGGAAACAGAAAGCTGAGCTCAGTCACTGAGTTAAAGCTCAACACTAAATGTCAAAGCTTGAAGGGTAAAGAGAGGAAAAGGTGCAAAGCAGGATCTGTTCCTGTGTAAACACAAACACAGTGACTTCCTCGTGTTAAATCCCACCACCTGAGTGTTTGCACTTACCCAGCAGTGTGTCCCTGCTCAGTACACAGCTGCTCCTCTGCTACACTGCTGCCTCAGTTACTGTACGGCAGCCTCTGTGTGTTTTTGAAGATGACACAAACATGCTGCAACACATGCTGCTGACGCTCCCTCTCCACTCCTCCTCTCTTCTGTACTGACTCAGCTAACTTCCTCCCCCTGCTCCTCCTCTGTTTCTCTTCAGACTCCTGTCCTCTGTTGCCGCGTTCTCCTCTTTAAATTTCCATGAGTTCCCTCTGTGTAGAAACACTACACTGTCATACACTCACAAACTCGGCTCAGACTGACTTCACTGAGCTGCTCGAACACAAACACTGACAATTCTCCTCCCCCCTCTACTGTAAACTATTTCTACTCAGCTTGCTCTCTGTACCTCCTCCTTTGCCTCCTCCTCCTTTATTTGCCGTCCCTTTTTTCCTCTCAGTCCTTCCCCACATGCACCTCTGCTCCTGCCTCCTCCCCCTTCCTCTTGCTGCTGTGAGTTCTGGATGGCTGCACTGACTGACACTGCCTCTGCAGGTGAATGCTGGGAAGTAGGCCAAGGGTCGGACCTGCACTGACCCTCTGGGAGAGGATCAGGTTACATCGCTTTGGTAACGTTGCCACACGGGGATATGCACAAGGAGACAAGCAACATCCTCCTGCATCATAAACACAGCAGTGTCACCCAGCTCTGACCTTAGGTGTCAATGCTGTGTGGCATTATTTACACTTGACTTTGCTAGCACACACTAACATGACTGTAAACAACCAATGGGCCAGCTTTAAACATTACTTTACAGCAATGAATTAACTTAAATTGATAGAATATAAAATGTGAATATATTATATTTGTTAGAATTCTAAGAAACAGGCAAATTAACAACCACTTCCACCACTTCAGCAAAGATGTTTTTAATTCTTATAATTTACTACAGTCAGTTGCCTCGTGTGCACTGATGCACTAACAGTAATTTAACTTTACTTTGTTTTTATGGCTGCGGGTAACTTTGAGGTTAAATTACTGCCACCTACTGTGTGAAACCAATTGTTTTAAGCCACTAAAGCCCTGTCCACATACAAATTAAGAAGAGAAGAGGCAGAATTTTTACAAATCATTTACACTTACAGATTTAGTGGCATAAGGATGACTGAGAGACTCACTTTGTGATTACATGGTTATGGTTTTTCAAGGTATTGATTATAAACACTTTTTTTAAATGTAATATTTTTTTTAATTTTAACACTGTTGTTTTATTAGTTATTGTACTTCTTATCATTAGTACTACCTAATCATAATACTTGTTGTTGTTGTTATTATTATTATTATCATTATTAACATCAAAAAGAATATCTCAGATTTTAGGTCGTTTTCATAACTGACTTTCATTCTCTGTCTTTAACATAAATAGACCACACACACACACACACAAATGGACAAACTGTACCTGTAAGTCATTTTGATTTTCCTGAGGTGGAAACAGAACAACATTTTCTGGAGCGCCCTCTTCTGGCTGTAATAGTGAATTAGAGATATCAATAGAAGAACTCAAGAGAACGCCATCCAAAGGTACATGTTAAGTCTAAACACAACTAAAGCAAGAAGCACTGATTTACTCAAAGAGCGAAGATGTGGTATAATGATAAAACAATAAACAAAATCATAGCGGCTGAACTTTAGTACGGTTTAGTTTGGTCGGTGCACTCAGCTCATGGGACTAAAGTTAAAGTTAATCCTCCTAAAGTTAATCCTATTAGTACAATCCTTCTATGGGAAAAAGTCACATGTCTGTCCTTCATCTCAAAGAAATTGAAGAAATGATGAAACTGTAACAATGTTACAATACATGCAGCCTACTGTAAAGTCCACAACTATAAAGGAAGTGTGAGTGAGACAGGCCGATGTGAGTAAGCGGCAAAGATCAGGGCAGAACAGCAGCTGTTTACAAAAGAACCAGACAGCATCACTAAATTCTCTTTAGACAAACTGCATATGATCAATGATTAGTTCTGTTAGGTCACTGTGTGCGTTTCAAGGTTAATTTAATGAAGCAGCAAACCCCACCATCCATTAGACGGTAACAAGCTCTGCCTTACCAACGCCTCAGCTGTGCTGCTCTCGTTCCCCATGACTCAGCCAGCTGTAGAGCCACCACTGCCCAAACCAATGCCCTCTTTACATCAGCTCACTGAAAGACACTAGAACAGAAGGTCCATCATCAGCTGTTCCCAGGTTTGAGAAGAAGAAGATGGAGGAAGAGGAACAATGGGAGCAGAGGTATAGCGATCCAACAGACTTGTGCTCTTAGGGATTAAAGGTCTCTGGTATGAGGTGGAACCATGCACGCATAAGTATGTATACGTGTGTACATGTGAGTGTGTGATCTTTAAGAGATTAGGCACCTGTGATGCAAGACCACCCCGCCATGAGCAAAGTGCAGTTTTTTTGTTGAGGCCTAACAGTGAAGCCAAACAACTGCTATTAAAATACATAGAATATACTACGTATATATACATATTGACAGTGTGTGGGTTTGAGTACACTTTACACGTTACAGCAAAACTGTTGCTTTAGTTCATTTTCAGACATCTGACCCAGAATGGTCAGTTTGTGGTTTTATAATATAGCGGTGAGCATGCCTGCCTTGTAAGTAGAGAGACCTGGGTTTGATTCCCAGATGAATACATATCCTCACGTACTTAACGACACCTCCTGTGGCCAACCAACATTTCCTCCTGAACCTTGAGAGACTCTGAAGGGAACTAAAGTGACTCTAATAATGACATGAAGAGTGAAAAACACAGCAGCTTCATAGCTTCATGTAAAGAGGTCATGACTGAATGTGTATGGATGGTTCTTTAGTCAGAAAGCACTGACCTGGATATACAAGCCTTTATAAATAGAGATCTAACTCAGATCCTCTGCCGTGAGATTTTATTTCACACGTGCACAGTTTTGTCAGCCACATATATTTTCCAGCTCAATTCAACCAAAGCTGTACATTCAACTTCTATTGATTCGTATTTAATAAAAATTTGGATTTGGAGTTTTAAAAGAACCTACCTGTTGTCCTTTAAATCTTTAGTGCGTCACCCTCTCGCGGACGCCTGCCTTCTAGCTATTTGTGTGAATGGGGTGTAATTTCAGCCTGCCATCATGTGGATGTGCGTGCACTTTAACTGGCACCAGTGTATGGGGACTTTCTGGCAGCATCACTGAATAATGAGTCAAATCATTACAAAGCCTTGGGTCAGGTCTCCTCTCACCTCATATTCTGTTTGCCCAATGTTTAAGTACCTAAGAGTAAATGAATTATTATGATAAAACATTAGTTGTGTCTTGACAACTAATAATGGCAAGATGAGACTTTAAGAAGAGCAGAGAAATATAACAGTGCAGTAAAAACCATGTGAATCACTTCATGCAAAACACAAGTTTCTGGACATTCCATCAGAAGGGATGATTATAAACAAAGCTGATGATAAAAAATAAATTAAAAAGTACTACAATGTACACGGTGAATCACAGGACTTACCGCTGCATATCAAATCCTTTACAGCACACAGAGGCTTCTCTAGGACAAACCTCCCCTCAGTCTGTTTACTGTTTGTTTCTGGACCCCACTCCTGGGGAGCCTGTTGCTATATTTGCATTGCACGTTTGGTGGTGGGAGGAGAGGTGAAGGGGTAATGAACACGGGACAGCAGCAGGAGTGGAGACGGGACAGAGGGGAGGAGACCAAAACAGAGCTGCTGAAGCCATGTCACAGAAGGAACTGGTGGGATTACATGTTCTGACCGACTCAGGAGGCCCGCTAGTCAGCTGCGTCAGGATCTGGGGAAACACTGTAAACAAACAGACCCCACAGACGGGGTGTAGGGTCTGATCACTCCCAGCATGACTTTCCCTATGCAGTACTGAAATAGAAAAGCAGGCTGTAAGGTTATAAAAGCTTCCACTATTTCATTACCAAATCAGATGTCAGATGAATAAACAGAAGACAATTCTAAATCAAACCAATTGTTTTTTTGATCAGTTGATTTTTCCAGGTACACTGTCCCAGGTCTGTGATAAACCTGTGTTTGTACTTCTCAGCGTTAGGGACACATTTAAACCTGACAAAATGCCTGAATCAATTTAAGGAAACACAATCACGCACCTGCAAAGAACTCCACCCTGCTTCATAGAGCAGTATTTCAAATATTGACTGGTATCGTTCGTTTTACAGGTCAGCATTCTCATCCCTTCATGACCTGTACACCCCCAGGACCTTGAGGAATTCAATTCAACTCATGACTGACCCCTCCCACTCTGATCATCTCTTCTTTGGGGTGCTTCTCTGGCAAAACAATGTGGTCCATTTGGACTGAAACCTCAGGACAAAAGAACAGTTTATTGCCCTCTGCTGTCAGTATTATGAACAGCACCCCAGTCTTTCCACACCAACACATGAAATAGACTCAATAGACAATAGTCATCCAGCCCAGGGTCCAGTTAACATTACAGGAAGGTCAGCCCTTATTTATTTTGTGTTTAACGTGTATATGTTATTTTATATTTACGTATATGTATTACTTGTTATTATTTAAATTTATTAAAATCCAACAATATAATAAATAGTTCATCGTACACCTGACCCCAGTGTGCAGTATGGGCCACAACAAATACTGTTTCTTTTGTTTGTTGACAATGCATACTGTAAAGTGATATAAAAAGTAAAATTCTATTCATGAAAGGTTTCTTTATTTACTGCATTGTTTTGTCATAATTGTATAAAACTTGCCATACTGTAAATACAGTTTGATTATCCTGCAACAAGGTAATACTAAACGTATGGATTTTTCCTCCAATAGCCTGTATTGATGTTTCACTAATACATCCAAAAGAATCTTAATGGATTCTGGGGTATGTGGTGGCCCGCCCTTTGAGAAACAGCTGACTCACTCTGTGAAAACTCACTCTCTGAGAACCACAGTCACTGGTTTTAACAGTGAAAAAGTAGTAAAAGTATCCATTGATGGATCAACGTGATCATCAGCAGACCTTATCTAACCCAGAGCCGACCAACTGAAGCAACCTCAGATCACCGCAATACTCCCAAATGCTGTCACGGTAGGCATTAGGCATTATGGGTAATAACCTCTTTGGCCTTAACTCCACTAGTGTTCCCATGAAAGAGAAAAAGGTGACTATATGCAATTTCACCTAACTGCTTCTTCTACTGTTAATATTTACAATCAATTATTCAATCAATTACAAAAAGTTAACTGCTGTACTTTTCAAATTATGGTATGTGTATCGATGGTGGTACTTAAGTTCTTGGGCCCCTCTAGTGGTATGTGGGGGAGTGTGATTCCTATGTTTATATGTGTGTACTTCATTGTACAGTATGTTCTATACATTGGGAAAAAAATAAATATTTTGACCACCATCTTCAAAGTATACTATAAGCTGTACTAGGTAAAGAACTTTGGTCATACTGCTGGTACTTGGTACTTTATCAGATTGATGGATGCAGGGTGAGATAAGCAGCTACTAACTGCAGCTGTTAGTTATATAACCTGTTGCCAGAGTAACCATAATAATCACTGCAGTCATGTTGCAGTGTGGAGACATGTACAGCTATGATAACTGCCATGGAAACACGTGCAACAAAACAGAGCAAATATAACAGCCACCGCAGCAGCAAGAGCAGATGTACTCATTATGGTATGTATTTATCTCCATCACCAGGGGCTCCAGAGAGCTGAGGGCTGTGTGGTCAGAGAGAGAAGAGAAGGTTCATCATCACTAAAAATAACACAGGAACCATCACCTGGCCTTCAGATGTACATTACAGTGACATCACTGCAGGTTCCTCCTGCCACTGAACCAAGCGCATTAAGATTCGTCAACCTGCTCCCCATCATCCTCCTCCACTACAATCGGCATCCTTCCCCTGCACTCCTTTCCCCCTGATCCTTGTCATCGCCCCCTCTTCCTCCTCCCACCAACTCCCCATTGAGCAGTAAAATCAGCATCTTCTTTCACACACTCTCTGCTGTGTGTCATGCCTAAAGATGTCTCTGCCATCAGCCTCTGCTGCATTCACTCT